CTCCAGAAAACCAGTATGAAATGAGACCAGAATTCTCCCTATAGCAGGGATGTCAAACATACTGCCTGGGGGCCAGAACTGGCCCACCAAAGGGTCCAGTCAGGCCCCCTGGATGACTTTGCACACCTAATAGTGATGCACAAACTGTTAAAAAGGCACTTATTCTTCTGAAGACATCACAGGCTGTTGGTCATCTGTTTTCTAAATGGATGAGCAATTTTAAAATGTACATCTTTAAATTAAAATTAGAAACATTTGGAGGTGTTTGTTATTCATAGGACATTACGCAGTGGTTTTACTGGTCTGGCCCACCTGCATTCAAATCAGACTGTATGTGGCCCATTAGCTAAAATGAGTTGACACCTCTGCCCTTTAAGAGTCTTTAGTTTTGACACAAATGCCGCAGTTAACATGTTACCTTAACATTAAATTACAAAGAATATTCTCATTTTATATTGTTACTTTGCAAATTTGCAAACTGTTTCTGGTTAAAATTGATCAGCCTATTAGGGATTGATTTAATAAAATATAGATGTTGGTGACTGTCCAGTATCTCGTGGCTTAAGCAAAATGACATTAATCTTCACAAATTCAAATTTTAGGCTACAGATAAAGGTTGTTTGAGGCTACACTGTACAATCATGATATATTGGCAATACTCATTTTAACATAAATATTTAATGAAGACCCTTTGGAATAGTTCATTTTTTTAAGTGGGGCTGTATGAGGTAATTAAATATAATCAGTGTATTACATACAGTAGATGGCAGTTGGCACACCCCCAGTTTGGAGGAGCAGGCTGGAGTACCAGCACAACTAAGCTAAGCAATGCACTGTGCATTATAATTTCATTGTGTTATATAATTACATTATGTATAATAATAATTTCAAGTATATGCTTTGGTGTTTTGAAGAAGAGACAGACAGCAAACTAGCCTGACGACATGGCCAAATGCAAGTATGACATTGAATGTTTTAACTGTGTGGACCTTGAACTAATGACTAAGGACAAATCTGGACCCTGTGGCTGGACCAGTTGGGAATCACTGGTCTACTGTATGTAATACACTGAGTATGGATTACTACCTCATACAACTCCACTTAAAAAAATCAGAACTATCCCTTTTAAGTTAGTCTTTAAATAATTGTAACCAAGATATGTACTGAGCAGGATAATGACTGTTTCTCAGTGACCTCAAGTACACAATTTAAATTTAAAGAGTAAAGTTAATTGTCATGTAAAATGACTGCATTTTATCCCCTTGCTCTCAAACTTGCTGCAAACTGTGCAATATTTTCTTGCAGTTTCCCCCATATCCTCTAACTCACATGCCAACACCTGTTTTCAGGATAATTGAAATATTTGCTTGCGCTTCAACTGTTAAGCTTTGTCTTTACCTGGTGCCATTCTCTTGTAAGTGTCTGATCGGTACTGTGTATGAGCAGCTCTCAACGGTGATAAGAAGGAACCTATATGGCTCACTCCTTAGCTACTTCTGTCATCAGCTCCAGAAAAAAACAATGTGTTTAATGATTTTTTCCCACTTGCTCGATCAGGCAAGTGAGTTGCTAGATTTACTAGCCCATATGGCATTTTACTTACCCCTGGCAATCCTTATTGTTGAACCCTGAATATATCAGCAATGACCTAATATTGGTCAATACATGTAATCCAAACTGTTTACTGGTGATTATTCATTTTTATATAAGTAAATGATGATAACAGGTTGCCAAATAACTCCAGAAATTAGATGAGTTCTCAGCATTTTAGGCAGTTTATTTGAAAAACACATACAAAAAGATCATATACAAGACAATAAATAAAAAAGAGACAGAACAGTTTGGGTTAAGCTATGCAACTTTTTGCATCATCATTAGTAATAAATACAGTACAAAATCCACCCAGAGTGAATCTAAAGATTTTCCACAATATTCACTGATCATGTTATTCTTCATTATGATTTAGCTATTGCTTTCATATTATTGATACATACTTCTACTTTTCTATAAAATACTCAAGATCATAAAACATTGCGCGGTTACAGCAAAACAGCAGTGTGTTGTACAAAGATGGCCACTTCCCTTTTTCACTGGCAGGTTAATAATCAACATTTTTTCAGCAGCAAAGAAACATCTGAAATATTCAAGAAGGTACAGCATCATATTAAACACATCTACAGAGCTACTCCCACATACACATAGGAAAACCTGAGAAGGACATGCATTAAAAAGCTTGTGCTTTAAGTTCTACTGTTCATTCCGGTTCATCAGCTTGAGTTAATACTATGGCTACTGTCCAGTTCGCTCTGGAGTTATGGGGTACACTGTGGAGGACATGGGGTAAGGCCAGTGAGAGCACGAAATGAAATAATAATAGTAAGACCAGCCAGCTTCATTCCAATCCAATACATGTTATAGTAATAATTTGCAGGATTAGTAGAGTATTAATAAGAAATGCACACCGAAAACGTAGTTAGCTTATTATACCCAGGTGTAAAACACGCTATCTATATTGTATAACCACAGTACACCAGAAATTTGCTCAATAAGACCAATGGCTCAAGTTAGCATGTTAGATACTTCCCAAAATCCCACACAAAGCAATTGCCAGCAATACATAAGGACAAATAATACAGCTCATTATGTGGGTCCTGAAATAATAATAAGCACTAAATTGAGATCCAGATATGATGGAATATCATGAGCATGGTCAAAATAAAACAAATACAAGAAATTAAATCGAATATGACTGATTATGGGAAACAAAGCAGTATTGTATAACAAAAGCAAGCTAATTGTGGAGCCATACTAAGACAAAATAAAGGGGGCTGTACCCCGTCACCTGCTTTGGATCAAAGCAGGGGTGATGTTTAAAAAACGAAAAAGATTTAAAAGTAAAATCAAGCAGTGATATGAATGGAATGTAATCCAGATCAACAGCACCATGCTGGCTAGAAAATGTGTTGGGAAAACGTCCCCCCAAGTCAATTTTTCAACAGGTTTCTTTTTTTCTCCTTTGAAAAAGAAAACACAGACGGCATGCAAAAGCATCCCCACCGACCAATGCATAATGAGGTATTCTTTTTTTAATATTTTGTGTTATTTTAAATAAATATATTGATTAAATTGCAAAGTTATGAGATAGAGACATTAAATATTCCACCACGATAGCTAGCTAGCTACAGTTAGTAATAAATAATGATTGTTAAATACTTAAGGCATCTTTAATCACAGCATTCTATGTGAACTAGCAAAACCTCCATTTTCATCCATCTGTAGTTTTTTGGATGGAGGTTTCATACAAAAAATAAAAATAAAAACGCAACACAAACAGTCAAGTTACCCTCCAATAATACACAAGGAAGCATGAAAATACTTGTAACTGAATAGAAACACAAAATCTAGGACAAGAAGAACCCACACCACCAAACCAAAAAATCAGGCAACTCCATATTATAGTGCATTTACAAAACACAAGCTACATTATAACAACAATAAATATGTTTTTGCAGCATTGCAGCTTTTTCTTCACTATGGTTAAATGGACAAGGACTCGGCATATTAGTACCATGTCCAGATTGGCATGTGAGCGCAAAAAAAAAAAAAAAATACAAGTAAGAAGAAAAAGAAAATGGCAGAAAAAGACAATTGAAAATAAAATTAAGAACAATTGTTTGGTATTTTTCAAATGGATGGCTTTTTCTCCCTTTCACCCTCCTTCAAGTGAACTACGCCAACATGGTTCATGCATGATATAGAGAAAACGGCTTCTATCACTGAACGTATCACAGTTGTTCTAGCAATACCATACACTACTACCATGGGGGAGAGGGGGGTGGGGGACAATCATACACATTCTAGCACGTTATCACAGGCAAACTAGTTTGTATTTTCCCTGTAACACCAGATACACAGTCTTTTTAATCAAACAGTGGGAGCAACTTAGATTGAAATGAAAAGGAGCCGATACACAACAGAGGCGATTCACTGTATATAGAAATCACATGTGCTTGTTTGATAGGCAATAAGGTTCTGGTAATAGGTAATACAAATGTCAGATTTTAGTCACTCTGATGGCAAGACCTCAGGCACTGCATCCTCAAGCCCATGCCGGCCTCTCATGTCATGTGATCATGCCATGAGCGAGGCAACAGAGAGGAGTTGCAGTTAGACACGGATCTGCTAGCAGCTCTTTGAATCCTGACGTCAGGAGAGAAATGCTACATGGGTCTGAGATCGGTGTCTAAGGGCAACTTTGGTCTACTCAGGATGGAGTGAGGGGGGGTGGGGAGGTGGGGAAAGGGGTATTAGGTGCATTCTTGTCCTCCTCTATGAATGAGTGGCATCGTCAGAGTCATAGTATACGGTTCACATGCACAGACACAGTCCCTGTTTCTACTGCTCCACAATATTAACGACACAGCCCAAGCCTGCCATACAGCATGCACATCTGAGGCCTCTGCTCTAGATAATAGAGGCCCCACTACGACACTACACAGATCACTGGAAGCCATGCCTGCAGTTAGCGGGTTTAGCATCAACTCTGATGGCATCTACTAACTGTAAATCCAAAACCATGTTAGACAAGAAAGAGGGATTTTTGGCCTTTTTTTTTACACAACTAGCTCTTTCCTCATCGTTTTACGATTAATTAACACGCTGAATATTCTCCCTTATTTGAGCTGTATTCACCCTCTCTGTAGGTTTATTTTTCACAAACATATTTCTCAAAAGGCTTTGCTTGCTACACAACACTGTTACTCTGTAAATACTTATTCAGTACTATACTCCATTACACCACAAGCGTTCAGCTACGAGAGTTCACACCAAACAACCTCATGCTAATCATTTGATAATGTTCTGTACAGATGTGCTGAGGGCTTGGGCAGAGTGCAGCTTAAAGGATTTTTTCACAGGCCTGGGGAGGGGGGGGGGGGGGGGGGGGTTGGGGGGGGGGGGGGGGGGGGGGGGGGGGGGGGGGGGGGGGGGCGGGGGGGGGGGGGGGGGGGGAGGGTTTTGATGTAGTGGCAGAGAAATGGCCTTAATACGCCACACTGAGCTGGGGAGGTTGGTAGTCAGAGTGTCCTCTCTTTGATGGCGGTATGGAGAAATGTACACAGGGTACACAATCTGACAGAATCTGTGTGTGAAGCCTCAGCACATCTGTCCATACGTGTCCGCTCCTACCTGTCACATCCAGCAAGTCCATTCAAAGCAACCTTCAGTCCAGCCACATATCTATGCATCAGCCCCCATCCCTCGCTGTGTTGTAGGTGAGTGTGCTTTGTTGATCCCTCTGTCACAGCTGTCTCAGAAGGCAGGCTCGTTGAGTGATGCAGAGGGCAAGAGAGGGGTGTTTGGCAGAGCTTCCCCCCTGGACAGGGAGGCAATGGAGAATTAACAAGACCAGATCCAAAGCTGCAGGAGTCGACAGGAGCTATCAACTGTCAGGGGTCAGTTGGGTCTCAATGTCCACTCTGCAGATGGGGCACTTCCTGCTGGTGGCCAGCCACTGGTCCACACACGCCTGGTGGAAGAGGTGCATGCAGGGTAATCTCCTGCAGACACAGAAGAGACACGGTCAGGATTTTAAAACGTATGTATGTGTCTCCAAAATGTCAACTTTCATCATATCAGGAGCAAAGATAAACGGCTGTTTTCAGCTTTGTGATGGAGCATTTTTCAGATGATTCAGTAATTCAGTTATTTATCTTAAAGAAACACTTCACCCCCCAAATGACCATTTGTCAGTTACTAACCCCATGCTACATTGAATTTGTGAAGAAAACTTTTTTCTTGCATCCCTCCACGGTGAACAAAGAATCCAAAAATGGAAAAAATTCTCAATTAATTTGAGTAAAAGGGGTTTAACAACCGTAAAACTATATCAAAAGACAGTTTACAAACTCTAACACAACTTGTCCAGTATAATCCAAGTCTCATTCATCCTGTCGAATGCTCAGTACCCCACACTGACAAGACCTAACAGAAAGTGAAATCTTTGCTCTCTTCAAAAGCAGACTTCATTTACAAAAACTACCATTGCCTCAATTGGTACTTTGTGTTATTGTGTGACTTTGTGAATCCAAATGAATCCTTTAAAACACCACAGACCAGCAGCTCTCATTTTCAGCAAAGTAAGATTAGTTTTTGTAAATTAAGTCTGGCTTTGAAGAGAGCAAAGATTTCACTTTCTGTTAGGTTTTGTCAGAGTGGGGTGTCTGTTTGGGAAGTAGTCAGCATATGACTGGATAAAACAGACTTGCATTATACTGCATGACTTGTGTGAGAGTTTCTGAACAGATGTTTTGATATAGTTTTGCTGTTGTCAAATGCAGTCGCCGATCAATCAATTCATTCTTAAATTCATGAAGAATTCTCTCCATTTTTGGATTCCTTATTCACTGTGAAGGTATGCCAGAGAAAGTTTTACTCATTAATTCAATGTAACATGGTTAATTTATACACAAGTGGTCATTTGGGGGTTGAATTATTATTTTAAATGTAAGAGAGTTTTCTCAATTCTTAAGTTTATCTGAAGAAAAAAAAATCTAAATCATCAAATTTAGATACATGAGTTTCACTGAAAAGTGTTGTTTACAAAGCAGTTTCTAAGATGACAGTATGACCTTTAAGATTTTAGTCTTTCTAATCCTTTGAAATTTAAATCTTGATTTATGTCAAACTGTTGTGTTTAATGAAGCGTGTGTGTGTGTGTGTGTGTGTAATTATTTTCATCTTTTCTGCTTTAGAGCTCTACCAACTGGTTAATTATTCAAATTAGTTGATCAAAAGTAAATTAATCTGTAAATATCTTGATAATCAAGTAATCATTTCAGTCATTTTTCAAGCAAAAATGCCAAAAAATCTGTTTTTAGCATCTCCAATGTAACTGATTTAATGTTTTTCTTCTTCATATATGGATTGATAACAAACTAAATATCTTTGGGGTTTAGAGTGTTGATCAAATAACATGGGCAATGTGATTATGTTCTCTTAAGTTTCTAAAATTTCATTGACAAAACAATCTAGTAACCAAGAAAGTAATCAAAGATTAATTGTAAGTATTACTTTGCATCAAGCTTAGCCTGCTTTCTAAAGAAAAACATTGTTTGTTCTTACAAAATCAAATTCTTTTTCTTTTCCTTTTTTTAGTTACCATTTTCTAATATTTTTAATGTCAGACACTGAATGCTTATCTCTGTCTTAATTAAGGTTAATGGACTGTGTAAACACAAGTGGAAAAAAGTCCAGGATTTTAATGTTCTGTTTCTGAAAAAGCCTGATATGTTGTATTTAATCAATATAACAAGTTGTAAGTTGCCAATAAACCAAACTCAAAAGAGGGTAATAAACAGCTGTGGTTACTCTGCTTAGTTACACCAAATACCCTTTAAATACTCAATGTGCATGTGATTCACGGGTCATGACATGCTCAGTATCCAGTTGTCTGACTGTGGTGCAAATTTGACACCAGAATGTGTCTCAAGTGACTTTGTGTGATCAAATTTCACTTCACATTTGATTTTATGTACGGGGAAACTGTGAATACTGCAAAAAAAATCCACATTTGTGTGAGGAAGGATGTCTGTCTTTTCAGTGCAGTTATGTAAATTTAGCATTTTAATGCCACGGGTGAACAGAACCCAAGGCATATGCTCTTTTCGCAGCTGTCTTCTTTAACTTTAACCTTTTGACTCCAAACTAAACAAACCCTGAGATGTCACGAATGATGAATGCCTGGAAGACCAGAGAATTTTTCAGATTCCCACCACAACAGTAAACATAAACAATCAACAAGCAAACTCTCATCACTGCTCCATTTTCTTGATTTAAACAAAACCAGTTACACCCCTGACCCTAGAAAACCTGAAGCTTCCACCTACTTTGTTCTTCTCTTCCCTTTTTCTCCTTCACAGAGTAAAATCACTTCCTCTGTCACTTTGCCAGTTAGACAGATCACAACACTGGACACACATCATAAGATTGTGTGAAATGCTAATGCTGCCTTCAGGCAGTATTTTCAAGATGAGGTGCCGGAGGAAATCCTGTGATAGGATTTTCAAACCTGATGCTTTGAACTCACGTGGCAGAACCAATTTAAGGTTAGAAACTGCTTAGACTCTGTGACTGCATATCCACTCTGAAGGAAAGCTATGTGAATATAAATAAAAATTAGCAAATGTTGTCTGGTGAGACAAAAGACCTTAAGCAGCTTCCCCCTAATAACCTTAACAGTGAATTTTGGCCACATCACAATGTCTAAGTCAACTGCATTGTAGAGGCTGGGTGTAAGAACAATTACCATGGATAAGGTGTTCAAGCCAATTTTTAACTTTACAAGATAAGAAACATAAAAGAAGATTACTTATCACAACCAACTGTTTTGGAGAACAAGCTTAATGCACAAAATAAATCTGAGGTTTTCAGGAACTCCACTAGTTTTGAAAGTAATTTCCTCATTAACCAAAGTACCTAATAACCTGATGATGGCGTGGATGAAGTCAGGGGATGAACAAAGTTGTTACACTTCATCCTCGGGGGGGAATAGATGTCTCTACCAAATTTTACAACAATCCATCCCATAGTTGCCCTCACATTTCACTCGAAACCACAAATTTCAACATGCTGGTGGCGCTAGAGGAAGCCAGGGAATCACCAAAGTCAGTAGGATTTATCCTCTCAGGATCATGAATGTCTGTACAGAATTTTATGATATTCAATAGTTGTTAAGATATATCAGTGGGGACTAAATTTACAGACTGAGTCACAGTTTAGTATGCATTATGTAAACAGTATATTCAATTTGGATATTACAAATTAGGCCTTATCCCAAATGTAGCATTTTCCAATTAAGACGTGGGATAGGCCGGTATTATTTGGGCTCTAGGAGGATTCTTTTGACATGTACATAGTGCATAGGCTTGGGCGCTATCACAGTCTTCCAGGTTATTCAGAAATCCTGATAGTATGATTTTCAATTGTCAAAAATACAGACACAGTACAATACAAGACATTTTAAACTCAGGAGCTGTATTGAGGATGTTTTGTATTTAGCACACCAGATGTCAGTCTCTACTAGTGGAACAGGCAGCTAAGCTGAGAAAGATGGCAACTGTGAGTAGTGGGGATGATGTTAAAGGACTGTAAACTGCCAGCCAGCAACGACAGAGAGAGATCGTGGGGGGAAACTGATGTATTTTTACATCTACCTCAGTGAACTGAGGAGTTATTTTGACCAAACCAGAGCTGGTTGGGGGCAGGGGTAGGTTGTGCCACACACAAATACCATCATATACCCTATAACCTTGTGAAATTTCAGGAAAGTATGACGGTATGAAAAATAGATACCACCCAAGCCTAACAGCACATTCTGAAAATGCATCTCAGTCCCTCCTCATCAGCTTGCGACACACTCGTCTGACAATGCTCTGTGAGTTGTCATGGATATGTTATAAACAAACGACTAAGCTAACACTTTAGGGTAGAAATGCACGTCCAAAAGAAAAGTCCACATTCCTTGTCCAAAGAAGACACACGCCTATTTTTAAACATTATAAAAGACTTGGATATAAACCGATTTTTGGATATGTGTAAATATCGGAACACTGACCTTTTTGAGAGGGTGGTTTCGAAAGTGAAAGAGGGAGACTGTGTTTGCAAAGAATGAGTTCACCACTGGTGGAAAACTTTGAAAAATTTGACGCAAAGAAGCAAAATGGCACAAGTGACTCCACCCGGGGCAGGTGGGGCACATTAATCGGAGTACAAATTGCGGCATGTAAACAGTAATATTAGTGGAATATTCATTTTCATTAGCAGTGTCAACAGCTTCGTAGGAATATTGTCTTTTTCGTAAAAAGGCAAAGAACCAGACAGGTACACAAAAAAATGGTCCCCCAGGAGACAACACAATGTATACACAGCTTATGTTTACATCTGCATACACTGCATTTTCCTCTTTGAACAAACAAAAGAATTGTACCTGACATCCTCTCCATCCTCCAGCATTGACAGACAGATGGTGCACTTTTCATCGGTGTCCAGCTCCTCATCATCCAGACACATCTTCAGGTCCTGGGGTATTCTCTGCAGAGAGAGAAGGCAAACAGACTTTAATTATTAAAGTGTGTTGTGCAGCAGCGTGTAAGGAGCTGTTATGTTTATGCCACGGGTGTCTCTGAGTCAGCCCCGACAAGAAGAAGAAGAAGAAAAGAGTCACCTCATCATGCTTCCCGGAGAGAGAAAAAATCAGATGGAAAAGACTCAATTACTTCTTCTCACTCACAATGTACCAAATGATCTGACACTCTTTCCACAGTATTTGGGTCATATTCAGTGTAGACAGTTTTTTAAATTCATTCCACGCACATATCTGCAGACAGCTGGATGACTCATCCAGCTCGCCTTGAATTGTGCACACTGCAGACCTGTCTCACTAATCTGCAAACGGAAATTAGTTTGACCTTTGAACTGCCGCAAGAGTCGTGACCCTCTTTCCACTCTCGTCTTTACTCTTTGATCCTTTCGACCCAGCACTGCCCTTTTGAATCCCCGTCTCTCACATATAGCTCAACTTATTTCTTGCCCAATGCCTTCATCTGACTGAGACCACATCAAAAAAATCTATCACTCAGCTAGAAAGTAAAGTTGACTGGTTTTTTTTTTTTTACCTTTTTGTACTTATGGGGGAACGTGAATCTTTCTATGGTGGTTTGGACTGCTCCTCGGTTTACACTGCCCAGCCTGTCCTCCAGCTGCAGAAGCTCCTACAAAGGAAACATATGGACATGTCTTTTAATCCTTTTAGGTAGGTAGGTTTTAAGTCTGTATTTGGCTGCTGAGATAAACAAAATTAACATTTTGTGTAATCAAATATTAAAATGCAAAAGGGCTTACAAGCATGGAATACTAAAATTAAATTGTGGCTTCAATGAACAGGAAAAAGCCTCTCATAAAAACAATTGCATCTTGTTAAAATGAAAACAAATGTCATGAGATTAAAGGCAGTTGGACCATTTGAGGCATCTGGAAGCCGCAGTAATTGGAAATAAGAAAATCAGTTACACACTCAAGCCTGTCCAGAGCTTTGGTCACAGAGGAAACAATGATAAATGAGTGTAGACTGGTGTGTCTGCTGAGGAGAGGGAGAGAGGAAGCAGTGGCACGAACCTCGTAGCTCTCTCTAACAGCAGACGCGTGGCGGGAGGGGTTGAGACTCTGCAGAGCCAGCAAGTGCAGCTGGGGATATGGGTAGTTTCTGATCTCATGGACAACCTGGAAGATGACAGATAAAAGAAGCTAGAATCAGCGCTGCAGCTGGAATCAGAAAAAATACTGGAACACAGGTCATTCTCGGTTGCTTGGTATCGAGATAATTCTGAGAAACCCAGAGGAGAGTCGCTGGGAGTTCATCGAGATGAACATGATTGATTGTGCTGAGGCGGAGGGGGCTCACCACTTGTGTTGAGGCATTGTTTCTAGGGAAGTGGTGCATCCTAGGAGAGGTCAAGTAGTGCTGATAGTGCTGCGGCAGCGGATGGATGTGATACTGGTGGGGGGGCAGCCCAGCATCTACACTTAGATCCCTGCACAGAAACAGAAAAACAAGTCAGCCAGCGGCTCACAACAAGTCATTATCCCACAGTGTTTCTGTCAAACTGTCTTTTGATAACAGCGGATTTCTGCACAGCACAGTGAACCTTCATAATGACAGCATTATGTAGGCCAGTGATTCCCAACCATGGGTACCTGCACCACAGGGGCTACATCTGCAGTTGCTTGGAAAGATTGTGGAGTAACCTCAACTAATGTGAGAAAACAGAAATTCTGATTTGAATACAAAAATACATCCACATGTTGAGTCAGCTGTAACACTGTGCATTGAGAGAGTGCATGAAAATGAGCTCGCAAGAGAGATAAATTATTAAAATGAATAGTCAAAAGTAATGCATTAACAGTTTAAACTTAGCTAAAGGTAATCAAGTTTATGTACATATATTTATTTAATGAGTTATCTAACAGAGCTGTGTGGGTACCTCAGACAAAATAAAAAAGATTGGAAACCACTGACTTAGAGGAGCTCTACGCAATGTTCAGTGTATGACTTGTGTGTATGCACAATGTTTTCAACATGGAGGTGGCTGAGCATTAACAGTAGACCATGTCCACCAAAACCTTTTTATCCCAGCTAAAAACGCCAGGTACTCCTAAGGCAACGCCCAGCTAGGGGTATTTTGCGAGAGGTTTGGAGGCACTGCATTTTGCTAAGATGTTTTGGTTGCTATGAGTATATGAGTATAAGTAAAAATGTCAGCGCATGGTAGAGTACTTGCTTTGGATGAAAGGAAGCCTAAAGCATGTAGGAAAAGAAGACGGACCTAGGTTGATGAGAGAAAACATATATTAATAAATACACGGTGTATTAACATCTTTCTCCTACACTGCAGAGTTTTTAACTTTTGGCAACCAGAAAAAAACACCAAAAATGCAGCGCTCAGTGCAGAATAGACTCTCAGCACCTTGTCATGCTGCTGCCGTTTGAAGTGAACCATTAAGAATTAAAAAAATATGCTGGCCTCAAGTAAAAAACCTTTTGGTGGGCACGGACCCTTACTCCATAAGCACTAAACAACGGCAGCAGTGCTAACAGAGCTAATGCTGTTGAGTGGAAGGGAACCAGAGGGTGGGCACTACGCTTCAGCTGTGACACTGCCCGATATCAGTGGTAGCCAACATAGAGTGTGAGCCCAGTGCAAAGCAGCAGCAAGGGGCTAGCCAGTGGGAAACACACATACACTAATATGCACAAGCAGCCAGATCGGCTCACCACAACAAACCACAGAGAAGCTCAGATTATAACACCCACAGAATTCATTCTCTGCTCAGGATGCCACTATCTTACATAGCAAACAGTAGTTTTGCTGCTACATTAATGCTCTGTATGCTGCATACAGAACGTCTAAGTCATGTATGAAGTGGAACTGCGGTACATGAGTCCACTCTTGATCCCTCTTCCCTTCTGTTTGGACTGGTCTAAAAGCTCTAATGTGTAGTTTTTAAATGTTTCATCATATTTTTGTTGGCAAGAGATCTGCAACACTAATTAAAAAGCATCCATAAAACATACTGTTTGGGAAATACATTTACAGTTGTTCTGAGTCTTTAGATGTCGGTTTCCCCCTCTTTTAGTGTGCTTCTGGAAGTCTCAAGGTATGCTTAAGTTTTTCCATTGAGATTTCTTTAACAATTACAAGCCCTCAGTTCTGTGTGTGGGAGCTACTTCTCCCCAATTCCACGTAATAGCTTATTGGCTTTCTATTAATAGTATCTTAATCAAGTATCTATTGCTTCCTTGTGCAGCGTCTTTAGAGAAATTAGTGAAATAAAATACTATACAGCTCCAAGGGACATTTCCTAAATAAAGTGAAGCACAAGAAAAAACCCTGATAAAATTTGATTTGTCCAGAATTCCCTCCAAATGTATCTTCTTCATTCTAGCCAGACATGTACAATGTTTACTGCCAATTGTAGTGTCTAATGAGAGTTGGTTTTCTTTGAGCTCTTTTTCAACTTGGTCTTAAACCCCTTTCATCTGGTCTTGACCCAGATTTGATGGCAGTCTGGTGCAGTCAAACTATGGAAAGCTGACAAAAAAGGATGTCTTGTCCAACTTGTAGTATCACTGGTGCAGAAATGAGTAGTGTATGCATTCGTACAAAAACAATGTCGCTGGTATTGTTTGCCTCTGTAGCACTGCATACTGTGCAAAATAAAATGTATTAATGTTTCATTTGGTGAGATGTGCATGGTGTTTATTGCCAATTTTAGTGACTAATAAGAGTTGATTTGCTTTGGGCTCTTTTTCAACTCCAAATTAAATTATCGGTGGCATGAAAATGAGTATTATATTATTTTGTATTGCTTATTAAGACTAAGAATCTAAACTTGTGTCATAACATGTTATTTTTCTGACAAATAAAATACATCTGAGACTGTTTGCTTCTATTGTATTACATACTGTATTATATATATATATATTTATATATATGAGGTATATTGTTTACCAGTCTGTGCCCTCAGCCAGGTAGCGGGGCTGCTGCACCACAGGCTGAGGAGGGACATGAAGCGGGGGAGCAAACTCATAGCCGGGCCGCAGTCTGTGGGGCTGGTGAGGAACTCTCTCTGGGGTGCGTCTACTAAGACAAACAACCAAGCATTTGAAAACATCCTGTTAAAAAGAGTTTATAACAGAAATGGTTTATATAGTGTTGTCCCCAAAAGTCTGCTTGATCCATGAAACTGGAAACACTTTGTCTTTAAAGGGACAGCTCGGATTGTTTGAAGTTTGGTTGTAAGGGGAACTTATCCATAGTCAGTGTATTACATACAGTAGCAGCAGGTGTCTGACACAGAAGCTAAGCAATGTACTTCTGTGGAGGGGGTCAGCAATAAAAGGTATTTTAGCCACCTAAAGAAAGTCCTACCTAAAAACTTCTATATCATTGGGGCGTCGGTGGCTTAGTGGTAGAGCAGGTGCCCCATGTACAAGGCTGTTGCCGCAGCGGCCTGGGTTCGACTCCAGTCTGTGGCCCTTTGCTGCATGTCACTCCCTCTCTCTCCCCCCCCTTCATGCTTGTCTGTCCTATCCATTAAAGGCTAAATATGCCCCAAAAATATCTTTAAACAAAAACAAACTTCAAAATCATTTTAAGTGTATGCTATATTGAGAGTGTTTTTACCGCTTAACCTCTCTGTCAAACAGCCTATACTGATGGCTCCAATTATCCATCTATGCTCTCGTCAAAGCCACCAGACTCCATTGACAAAAACAGTAATTTTACCTTACTGAACACGGGAGCCACTGGTCTACCACATCTCCATCAGTTAGTCAATTTGTGCTGTTGTCTGACTTTGGTAAATATGCATCAAGTCTTTAAAATGCCTAAGTTCCACAATAACACAAACAAAATAACTTTTCAAGGCAGTAGTAGACCAGCAGCTCCTGTGTTGAGCAATGTTAAATCACTGCTTTTCTCAATGGAGTCTGGCTTGTAAGGGAGTGTCACTATAGCTCCATGTTCCAGTTGGAAATCACTGTCTGATACAGTAAAGCAGTGAAGTTAAACTGATACTGATTTTATTTAGGCGACTAAAATACATTTTGTTGCTGACCCCTCCACAGCAGTACATTGCTTAGCATCCATGTCAGATTCCAGCCTGCTTCTCCAAACCAGGGGTGTGTTGGCTGCCATCTACTGTATGTGATATACTTCCTGATACACTTTCTGTGGGTAAGTACCCCATACAATCTCACTTCAAAAGATCTGAGCTATCCCTTTCATATTTCTTGTGCTTCTAAATCTCCCTGCAACCCTGTGCGGATACCTGGAGGGTGGCAGGATGTGTCGGTGCTGGGCCTCGAGGATCTGCTGCTGGAGGAGGTATTGCTGGTGTAATGCCTGAGGTAGGAAGGGAGGGGCAGGGATGTCCTGGAACTGGGGAGCGGGCAGGGGGTTGAGAGGCGGGTGGAGCGGAGGGCCATGCTGGTGGCCGGGAGGGGCCAGGTGGGGGTTAATGCCTGACTGTGGCTGCCCTGGGTGGGGCATGGGGAAGTCCATGGGCAGCGGGGCCTGAGGACCTAACTGGAAGTGCCGGCAAGAGGTAGCATGGCTGTGCTGCTGCTGTTGCTGCTGTTGCCGGTTGAAATGGGATCCTGTGGGGGGATAAGGAGAAGTTGTCAGGCACCTGAGGGGAGAGATTAGCTGGAATTAATTGTGGGTGAAATGTGGTGTCACTGTGTGTGTGATATAGCATGTTAATGAAGCCCTACCTCTTACCTAGGGTGAAAAATACTTCTGTGGGGGTGGGAAAATGATGGTTACCACAAGTACCATGAGCATGACAACCATTTTGGTGCTGCACACAAAACGCGAGCTTTTCATTTCTTTAACTGCATTTTCCGACCTCTGGATCGACTCCTGGTCTTCTGATTCAAGCGAACTGGATCAGAACAGATGAGATCTACCAGTATATGGTCTTCAACGCAGCTCGGCTCTTGTAAATTCTGCAGCTGACAGTGGGTCAGTGCACTCTGAGTAAAACCTTTTGTACCTGGCTGTCTATAAGAGATATATATAACTGTTTATGTGCCAAGTCTCTATCTATATAACCATAAAAAACACTATCTTCCTTCTTAAAACCTTAACCAGACAGTATATTCACATTACTATACATCTGTGCTTCACTCAAACCTACTATATCTTTGTGTCTTACACATGCAGTGTTGTTCTGCTCCCATATGAACATTCACGAGTTGAGAGGAAATAGCTTGAATGCTTTTTTTACTCTCTCCAACCACAGCTATTTGGCAACTGCAGTGAACAGACTGCTGTGGAAACTCGACAGGGAGAAAATACAGACTTTCTTGTGCCATGGTGCAATATGGTTTTAATACTGTGCTTATGCTTAAAAAGACTCCTCTGATTATGGAAGGACTGCGAAATTGCAGTAACAGATTTAGGTTTGATTAGAAACTTTTGAGGAAATCCTGGCTGGAGGAAGGCATGATAGGTCTGCAGTGGAGCAGGATTCAATATACTGTGCTCTGTTATGTCCATCTGGCAGGAGCTAAAGCAGTGAATTTTACATAAGTCTACCAGTACAGATATAGAGATTGTGCAGTTCTTATAGAAGGTGGAGAATTTACTCTGCTTTAACAGTGTAAAAGACATATTTTAATGTAAACAGATTTTCTTTTTATAAAAATCATGAGGAAATAGGCAAAGTCTACATTGCATTTACTAGGAGTACGCTTGAAAAACGCAGTATGATTTCAAAACACACCCTGCAAAGATGGGCAGCATGACCTTCCAGCGGTATTTTCAGGTCGTCAGTGTTGCCGGGCAGACAAGAGGTGACCTTGCTGCCGTGGGTCAAAGGCTCAAGTCTAGACTGTAAGTAAGCACACTGCGTTTTCAAGCGCCTCAGTGAAAACGATCACCATGAATGACAGCAGATAGACTCATTCAGGCCCTGTGATGGAGGAAGCGTGGAAATTGTCTATCTTTGTCACAGCGGGAGAGGAGGTGGGTGGGGAGGGGGGGTGGAGGGGGCAGGTAGGGACAAGGGAGAGGGAGGACAATAAATGGAAATCAGCAAGAAGCACACTGAAGGTTAGGAAAAACACTATATTCTTTATTGAAAAATATTAGTATATGTGGAATTTGTGTTTTTTTTCTTGTTTGTTTGTAATAATAGTATAAATCCATGCAACAAAAATAAACAACATAGACTGAAGGCAAGGCCCACCATGCTCCATATAGGGTTAAAAAGAACAAAAGCGGCATCCAATGAGCAGACGTGTTGGCTACAGCACATGATTTCAGTACAGCAGGGTACATCTTTACTACAGAAAGATTACATTGGATTTTCACTAGTCAATGTAGAAAAACAAAAACCAAAAATTATGAATCATAAATGTGACCATGCATTGAAAGTACTATTTACCAGAACAAAAGGTAAAGAGAGACCACAACCAAACAATAAAGACGTTATTACTAATAGAGGATCTCTTTAGCAGTGCAGGAAAATAGGCATCCCTGTGAAATGGATAGCATTTTGGCCTCATGTTAGTGGGGAAAATTGGGAAGTGATGAACCACCAGTGAGCATGTTTTGCTTATGAAAAATGTTTAGTTTTATTTGCCCGTAAGGGGCAAACAGCCCTGACAATTCAGTGTGATTCGAAGCTTGAAATTTGCAAAGGGAACAAAAGGATTACACAAAAATGGAGACAGTTATGGCAGGTTGTTGTGTGCAGGTGCAGTGTACCTTCGGTCATTTCAAGTGATCACATGACAGCATTTGCTGAAATGCTGAGTTTCGACAATACAAACGGCATGCATATGGTTCCAATTTGCATGCTTGTTTTCTTAAAATTTACAAGTCACTTTAATCATGTACATTGCACCTTGTGTGAAGAGAAGAAAGATGAGCCAAATTCTGGTGTTCAACGATGCAGTGCAGTATTTAAGATCATGCAAAATGTATCCACTTTACAGGAATTTACAGCATGTTGTCTATCAAGACTGGATGGGAGGTACACAATGACATTCAACTGATATCTAAAAAGGAGCTAAAATGTTTTACTCAGTGCTACAGCAATTTGACAGAAAAAAAGACAAAAAGGTGCTCTGGTCTAGGTGTTAGCTATTGTTTTAGTCTGCTTAACATGGAAAGTCTATGGCTGAATACATCTTGGGAGGGGGTGCTTTTTAATACCAATGTCGTCTTCTGATGGAAAGAGGAAATGAAGAAGGGATTCACAATACAGCTAAATGCAGAGAACAGGCAGAGGCCACGCCACACCACACAGCAGCAGATGATCATTAGCTACACAATGGGGGGGACGACAAAGATCTGATAAATGCAGAATGTAGAGCCAGCCTCCATACTATGAAACAGGGAAATAAGAACAGAAATAAAAGCACAATGAAATCATTGATGCCACTGTTATGAAATTAATGTTACACTGTAGCTTTACCATTGTTTAACTGTGACCGCGTACTCGGGTCTTTTTGCAATTCGGCAGCTCCACACAAACAGCTGCTGAATTGCCAATTAGCAAATAATAAAAAAGGCGACTGATACTTTAATGGCTCGGAAGTCCACGCTCCCTGGGCGATTGGCCATGTATCGATTAGTCCGCTGGCCAATTGACACGGATAATAATTACTGAAATCACGGTAGAAAGACGGCAAGCGCAAGCAGAAGCAGATGATCTTCAAATGACATCATCCAGGCACAGATAAGCTGACTGGCTGGAAAGGCTACGTCTATTTTGCGGTATTTTTACAGTGCAAATGCACGGTAGCGCCTTGGGGGAAATCACAATACACCGTTATGTTACTGAAATAAAAACAGCCCGAATAAAATGCTTCTCGGATTAACACTGTCTCACACAAATGTCCATGCGGGAATGTGTTTTTAACCCTAGGTATTTTGGTCAGCACGCCCCGTGCGTGTGAAATCCTTTGTGAGAAATGTTTCCGTTCCAAGGCATAGCCTGAGCCAGCGAGCCAGTTAGCTTATCTTTAGCGGCGGTATTTCTGTTAAATTATGCTTAATTTCGCCCGGCAAACAACATTACTCGATGGTTCATATTCATGTGCAGAGAATACAAATTAAAGTAGTAACACGTTGCGGGCAGTTTAGCGAGTAATTTGACCGTTCGTTTTAAGAAAGCTAACCCAACAGCTAAGCTCGAGCTAGCTAGCCAACAGCTGCAGTGAATATTAAGATAAACAGGGCACATGTTTTGGATCGATATGAATATTAATACCGTACCTCTGTTTCTTACTGAGCCGAATACAGGAAGAACCAGATATCCGACATGCACTAAGACCATCCTGGGATCCTTATCTTATGATTCCGCTGGGTTATTTGGAGAGAAAGAGTAGTAGTAGCCCATGCGGATCTACATTCAGGCGGTTGGTTGTTGCTGGCTGGTTAGCACCACAGGCAAACCCAAACGACTGTCTGACTCGCTTGGTTGTCGTTGACAAAAGCAGACATGTCATTTAAGGTCCGGAGCAAAAGAGGGCGATGTTGCGGCGCTACAACCGAAGCTGGAGGTATTCCTAGGTGACCTACTCAGTCTTGGCTATAAATCTGGATGAAAATAATATTAATCGGCTATTGTTCAATGTTTAAGGCGAAAACCATAGGTACACATTAGCTACATATAGATAATTGTAGTCCTAAATTCAAACAAAGATGGAGTAGGGGGATGAACATTTGATTTTTCCACTCTATATTTCACTTCCATAAAGCTGAGGGACTTACAAGAGTGATTTAAGAAAGAATAGTCAAAAATCAAAGCAGGAGAGGCTAAGATAACCTGAGCTTTAAATACACAGGCTCCTACATTTCCCATGGTGCAACGCAATACACAATACACTGTCTTTTTTTTTTTATAAATATAGCTACCAAAAAAGATGACATTTTTTATTTTATTGTATTTTATTTCATTTTGTTTTATTTTGTTTTTTATTTATTTATTTTCATATTTCTGCAAAGGTAGGCTACTTAAACTGGAAATGGAGATGGAAAGAAAAAAGAAAAGGAAAAACAAAGAGGAAGTAATTATAGAGGGTTTCTGTGTATCTTACTGAGTTGTTGATCTACAGATTAACGAAACAAAATAGAAAAAAATATGGACCATTCATGTTGCATCTGGAGTCCGTCTCAAGTAGGTATTTTACAAATAGCATCAAGTGTGACCTCACACAGTTGTTCCTCATTATAAACCTGAGAAAGGCTAGAAGCTGCATCTCCATGGAGATCATGTCCAAAAATGTCTGAAGCCACAGTCCCCCTTTCAGCTGAGCTGCATCCTTACAGTTTGTTGCTGTCAATCTTTCAGCTGTCATGCATCCAGTCCAGTTGTTACAATTTGTGTATTGTGTTTTGACCAGTTTCCTCTGACAGTATAATTCAAAAGACACAATGCTGGGTCGCAATGAGCAGTGTAGCCAATAATTTTTTCCAGGGATTGTGTAACATGATCCCAGAGGGTTTTAATCTTAGGACAAGTCCATACCATAAGATCAAAAGTACCTTTATCTTGTTTGCAGTGCCAACAAAGATCATAGTTAGAAACATCCTGTGCAGTCAAACAGGTGTGAAATTAGTTCTGTGAACAATTATAATTTATTAATTTGTCCTTTACTGATTTGGATGCTTTGTTAAGTGTTTTCCAGACACGATCCCACTCTTTAGTTTCCAGGGATATACTTAGGTCTGTTTCCGAATTTTTTTGAACTGCATTTCAATTTTCTCCTGATGTTTTGTCTTTCTGTCTGACCACTGATTTTAGTTTAGTCTCAGTTTGTCATCTTGGGTATGGATACAGCTTTGCCTAAATATCTGGTCAGTTGTGATCTTTTTGTACAAGATAAGACTCTTTTCACTCACTAAACTGTTTGACCCAAACATTATTGAGGTTAGTCAGCGTCTCAGTAGACAAGCTTTTCTTTTAATTCATGAAACATTGTATGTTTCAGTTTCTTGTACACAATTTATCTCTGTTAGAAAAGCTAATTTAATTGCATTTTCTGTATTATTTTTGGATAGCCTACAACTAATGCCATTCAAATCCCCTTTATTAATCCTACTGTTGCCCAGTGGTGTCAGAAATCAAGTCCCAAATCCTTGACTTTGAGTTTTGAGTCCTAAGCAAGACATAATGCACTTTATGCCAAATGTATTACAGTTTTAACAACTGATTAATAATATATAAAAATTAGAAAAATCATGAATAATTTCTAAAGTTTGTGTTTATTTTTAAGTTTGTTAAAACAAGTGGGACTGGATCTAATCAATAAAAAAGTCTTTCATGGTAAATAGCACTCACTATTAACCAGTGCCACAAAAGAAAGAATGTTGCATGTGTCTGTCCTGTTTTGTTTTGTATAATGTAAATGTTGTAAAATAGGGTACTTTGCTATTGTATAGGACATCACCAACCTTAACATACTTTTAATCTTTGGGCTTTAGGGAAAGTATCAGTCTTCAAGTCAAAAAGCTCAAGTCCAAGTGAAGTCACAAGTCACTGGTGTTGAAGTTAAAGTTGAGATGCAAGTCTTTTTTTATTTTATCAAGTTGACTCTAATGTAATCAAATCTGTGATTCGAGTCTGACTCAAGTTGAAGTCATGTTACTCTAGTCCATACCTCTACTAATGCCTATATGAGGAAATTATGTTTTCCTGCTATGTACTCAGTGTAACTGTGTATATGCTGGAAGAAAATATAGATATCACCCCATAAATAATTGATCACAAATAAGGGAGCTTCACATACATTAAGCATTACATGACTAAGCATAAACCTGACACTGATGTAAATTGTTCACTTTGTAATTCTGAATCACTGTTACATTTTGTTTTGGCATGTTCTGGCAATTATTATTGTTGAATGATTCCTAAAAGAATGCTGTGTTTTTTCATCACTTTCACAAATCTAAACACAAACAATTCTGTATTGTGAATTTAATTATATTGTTTCTCGAATACCACACACATAGATGCACATTTGAATTGTCTTCTTAAATGAATTTGATGTTTATGTTAAAGCTGTTGAATTCTCTAGCGATTAGACTTTTAAGAATGTATCTGTATGTAACACTTAGAATGTATTCTTTTATTTTGTCTAAATCAACAATTCCCCTTGATTGCTTCTACCCTCTTCTGTATTATTGTTTACTTTTTAAAAAAAGAAAAAAAAACTCTCATTGGCCACTTTATTAGGTACGCTTGTAGTTTCTAATGCAGTCCAACAGTCCTGCCATGACTTCTGCTTTAATTAATCTTAAACATTTTCAGTTCTGGTTGGCACTGTCAGAAAGGAAGTGATAATATATATTTTGTCCACCCTTTTACATAGCCTACATAGTGATGGAAAGTAATTAAGTAGGGCTGCATTTACTCAAGTACTGGTCCTAAGTACAAATTTGAGTTACTTTTATTTTACTTATTAGTATGTCTAAATAAAGGATACTAAAGTATTTCAAAAAATGAATATTTTATGCTATTTCATATTTCCTACTTCAGTACATTTCAGAGGGAAAAAATACTTTTACTCTACTATAGCCTATATGTCTGAGACATAAAATATGATACTGTACTACAGATTAATACTATCTAACAATATATATAGATTAGTTTAAATGTGCTGAAAGGTATGGGACCTCAAGCACTTTTATTTTAATAGCATAGGTTATATTTTGCTGTTAATACTAATGTTGTAGCCTATTTCAAGTAAAATCTTGAATGTAGGAACTTTATCTGCAACAGAATATTTTACATAGTGATATGACGATTTTATATTTTGTAAAATGTATTTACTATTTTAAAAAGTTGAATATGTTTGTCCAAAATAAATACTATTGCGGTCGGTATCATCTCCGTTACGGCAGGGGGCAGAGCTGAGCAGTAAAGCAGATTTAACGTCAGTGTCACATAAATAGAAGAAGAGTCCATTCAGCCATTACATTCTCACTCACAGCCAGGTCGAAGCCGCTAGTGGTGGAGGACAGGTCATTAGCAACCCGACAAAATGTTATCCGTGAGAGTTGCAGCAGCTTTGGTCAGGACCCTGCCCAGAAGGGCCGGATTTGTAAGTATTTGATTTTAACAGTCTATATCTGATGACGATGTTGCAGCAAGTTTATCAAATATTAGCGTGAACCTTGTGGGCGTGAAGGGTAATGTTAAGGCCGCTAGCTAACATGTCATCGGCTCAGTGCGGCTGTAAACGCCGCCAATCTCTCCTGAGTAATTATTCGCGTTAAAAATCTTGAAATTGATGTATTACATGTGTCTGTGGAAGTTGCCCTTGTGAAACGACGGTATTTGTCCTGCAGCGAGCAGCGCTAAAGTTAGCACGCAAGCTAATGCTAGCTACAAGCTAACGGCTCATTGAAACCACGCTCTGAAGGTCAGGAAGCCTGACAGCGCATGTCCTCTCCGCTGCACAGCGGTACACTAGCTCAAATTTTAAAGTGCATGTTTATTTAAACTGGCGCTGCAATATGTTTATAAAGTTGTATTTGCAATTAACGATAAATCAAATCCGTCTGTCATTGAATCAGGTGTCCAAGGCAGTACCGGCCGCTTGCGTTGGGGTCAACCACCTCCACACACACAGACCATGGCTGCAGAAGACAGGTGAGACAGTCAAAAACAACATGACAGAAACTTTGTCCTGCACACTGTTGGTCAGCTCCCTAAGGTGACAAGTGAAGGTCAATTGTCCTACTATATTTGCAGAGCTTGTGTCAAATAAACAGAATAGCATTCTACAGGTTTACATGTTTATTGGAAATTATTGGACACACAAGCTCATCTTTTCTTATATGTGCCATTACAAAGAATTTTAAACATATAGCTTGTTTGAAAAATAAAAATACATTCTGCAAAAGTAAAATTTATGTAATGCTTATCTTGTCTTGCACAGGCACAGCTGAGGTTTCCTCAATCCTGGAGGAGAAGATCATGGGAGCTGACACCTCTGCAGACCTGGAGGAGACAGGACGTGTGCTGTCCATTGGTGACGGTATTGCCAGAGTGTATGGGCTCAGGAACGTCCAGGCAGAAGAGATGGTGGAATTCTCCTCTGGACTCAAGGTGTGTATTAAAAGTTATTTTTAAAATGCAGATGTTTGCTTCCAGGCTGAATTTGAAACACTGATTTAAAACAACATTAAAGACTTACTTTACTGAAATAATTATAGAAGTGTTTTTGAGACACAGTGCAGTCATCTTGAATTGATAAAACTGAAAGAACATTGTGTTCCTTTTCATTAACTGGAAGGTGAAAAGCTCGAAAACTATAAATCCCTGACAACTTCAGTTTAGCTTTGTTTTTACCTCTTGTAATATGGCAAACAACATAAATAAATAATTCTGCTAATGAGTCCTAAC